TTTTTTTTTTTTTTTTTTTTTGGTACCAGGGATCAAACTTGGGACCTTGCACTTGTGAGGCAGGCAGCAGAACCACTGAGCTAAACCCCCAGCCCTCAGCTCCACTTTTTTAATTTCTAATTTTGAGACAGGGTCTATGTCATTAAATTGCCTGGGCTGGGCTCAGACTTGTGACCCTCCTGCCTCACCCTACCAGAGTGCTAGGGTCACAGGTATGCATTTACCACACCTGGCTCCAACATTTTTATTAGTGGAAGGTCAGGAATCAGTGAGAATCATGAAAGTGGGATGTGGGGGATCAGGATGGAGAGACAGAGTTCAGAATAAGATTACTGGAAAGTCAGTGGGAAATCATGAGGGGTAAAATGGATGTGGTTTCTGTGGGGATCTGAGAGACCAAGGGCAGTCACTTACCAGAACACCAGTGTGAGAGCCCCAGCTGTCAGTCCCAGGAAAGAGAAGACTCCCAAAGACAGTAACACAGCCATCTGCCCCAGAGGGCCCCTGTGATCTGAGAGGGATGGCCACATGCCACTGTGAGAGTGAGCCCGACCTACATTGTGCCCCTTCTCTCAGAGACCGTCAATCCTCAACAGCCTTTGCCATCTACACAAACTCACCCAGTGGCCACAAGTCTGGCTGTAGAGAAGGCCTTGAAGGAGCCATGCTGTCCACCAGCTGTGTGTGTATTTTGCCTGCATCAGGAATCTCGTTTGTTAAGGACTCTGAGGAAGGTGAGGCCTAAGACGAGTCCATTTACAAGAAGGTTGGGGCCAAGGCCTGAGATGGAGGCAGGGATCTCAGAGATGGAGCCTGAAAGACTCTGGGCTGCCCTCTGGAGACGTGGCTTATAGAAGTAGAGCAGTCAGGGCTGAAGCCAGAGCACAACTACAGACCACCAAGGCTGAGGCCTGGGAGATCAATGGTGGCACCTGCATAAGTGAGGCATGTGCTACCTGGCTGCCTTCAGCAAACTGATCTAGGTATCTGGGTGGGGACTCTGCTCTTTTCTTGGGCTCCTTTCTTACCAGTGCCAGGAGTTCCCAAGACCACTGGGCTCCAGGCGCTCCAGGTGCCTGCATCCAGAAAGTCCCTGGCACTGACCCGCACCTCATGAGGCAACCCAGCCACGGCATCTGTGATCAACTCCTCCAAGTCAATGGGCTCCACCTGGGGGTGAGAGGATGGTTCCTTGTTGTATTATTCAAGGCGTAAGCACAAAGCCTACCCACACAGTCTGGAAAGAGTTTCCCTTCTTCCCAGTGCCATCCCACCTCAGCACAAAGGAGAGTCTCGTCCTTACAAGTGGGTGGCTGATGTAGGATCTATACCTGGTATTCAGAAGATGGTAGTTTAGTTTGTTTGCTTGTTTGTTTTTAGACTGGGTCTCACTATGGAGTTCAGGCTGGCCTCAAATTCATGGAGTTCCTCCTGCCTCTGCCTCCTGAGTGCTAGAATTACAGGCATGTACCACCACTCCCAGCTGAAAGATGGCAGTTACTACTAGATTAGATCTGGGGTGTTTCCCAGAAGCCTCCTGTGTGTGAGAGGTGGGCACTATGGCTAACTTGCTATCACGAGGTAAGGGCTGGTCAGAAGAGGTGGGTCACTGGAGGATTGGCCTGAAAAGGATAGATCTCCCTCTTCAGTTCCTCCCTTCTCTCTCTCTGCTTCCTGACTGCCATGACATGAGCCGCGTTCCTCTGCTGTGCCCCTATGCCAAGCCGTTTCTGCCTAGAAGCCAGTCAACTATGGACTGAAACTTCAGCAACTATAAGCCTAAATAAACCTCTGTAAGCCAGGCATTGTGTCTCACAACAAGGAAAGTTACTAAGAGAGCAGTGTGATTACTTGGAGGAGCTGTCGCATTAGTCTGGGTCAAATCTTTGCTAAACCACTTACTAAGTGGACTTTGGGCCTCTGTGCCTCAGTTTCTTCATTTGTAAAATAGGGGTGAATATACCTGAACAAGATAATGAAGATAAAATATGTAGCACAGTGCCTGGAAGGGAGCCAGCACTAAATTTGGATTATGATCTGCCACCACTGCTGCTGCTCCCCAAATCCAATACCAGCCAATCTCTGAAATCTCCAGGGGGGAAATTCACTACTATCCTTGGCTGAGTATGAGACTGTGTAAGAGGGTGTGTCTTCGGGTGAAAAGCACTCCTTCTCCTAGAAAAGTTACTTTTTAAGAGACATTCTGTCTTCCCACCGATGGGTTTACATCGCACTGTAGTTGGGATGGGACAGCCCTGCAAATCAGCAAAAAACCCAAAGCTTGGCCCACAGGAAGCATCAGGTCTTCAGGGGACCGCCAGTGCCTGAAAGCTATGCAGAACACCCAGGCTCACACAACCAGAGACAGGACCCACAGCCTGAGGTTGTAACACACCCAAGAGCGTACCGTGGACCAGGCCGGATGCTGTGCTGGACGGTACTGCAGTCGGAACTTGAGCGTGAAGTGTGGCTTTTGGGGCCAAGAGGTGGGGTATGTCCAGGTAGCATGCAGGCGTTGCGGGTAACCAGGTACCGACTCCACCCGCAGCCCCTCAGGTGGGTCAGGGCGCACTAGGACAGCCAGATACAAAATCAGGGTAGGCAATGATTACCCATCCCTTCCCCACCACTTCCCAAGGTGTTACTTAAAGGCACCATAGTCAAGTGCTTCCATGTAGGGTAGGGAAAGCTTAAACTTGATTGACGATTAGGTTCTGTCATACTTATTACAAAATAAGCTGTGGGCCAGGGATGTAGCTCAGCAGCAGAGCGTCTGCCTGGCTAACACGAGGCCCTGAGTTTGATTCTCCTTACCAAAAAAGAAAAGTGAAAATCAAGTAAAATAAGCTGCGATTGGGGATAGTCTTTTGAAATGTTCCATGAATAAAAGACTTTTTTTTTTTTTAAGACAAAGTGGCCCAAATTCCAGCTGAGGTGTTTTGTTTTTGCTTTGTTTTATGGTACTGGGAGTGAACCAAGGGCTGCCTCATACATGTGAAGCAAGTGCTCTACTACTAAGCTATATCCGGAGGCCCAGTTTTTGTTTTTTTTGAGACAGGGTCTCACTATGTAGTTTAGGTTGGCCTCAAACTTATGGCAATCCTCTTGCCTCAGCCTCTCTAGTGCTGGAACTGCACACATGCACCACCATACCCAGCTCCCAGCCCTTTTTGTTTTATTCTGAGACAGGGTCCTGTTAAATTTTCCAAACTGGACATAACTTGTGATCCTTCTGCCTTAGACTCCCAAACAGCTCAGATTAAAGGCTTGGGCCACCACACCCCACTCCACCCAAATTTAGTTCTTCCTTCCCACACACAGGTCAAGGGAAGGAGTGGCTAGCAGGGGCTTCCCTTAGGCGGGCAATTTGGGAGATTCCGTTTCCTAGATAAAGCACAGTCCCTAAAAGCACAGAGTCAGCCCTCAGGCTAGGCAACCAAGAAGGGCCTTGCGGTAAGGACAGCAGCCTCGAGTCTCCCATCCCTTTGACTTCTTAGCCTGTAAGTGAAATCTATACTCCAGGAAATCATTTGGGAGCTGAATGGGGTGGCGCTGAGTCTGTCTGGGGTCTCCACAGTGGGGATCTGGGGGAAGACTAGCAGTAGGTACTCACATATATCCCAAAATCTTATATCCAGCAGGCATGTGCTAGCACCCAGTGGGTTCACTTCAGTGACATTCATCTGGTACTGGCTCCAGAACTCTGCCCAATAGATAACACAGCGTGGATTCCCTAGGGGGTCCTGTGGGCATGGCTTCCATGCAGACAGATTCGCCCTAGGAGGAAGAATTTAGCCTTGGGCTTTGGAAATGCCTGTTAGGGGACACAAGCTAGAGCCCCCATCCTCTCCCTCAAGTCCTACCTTTCCTGATCAATTCCTGGCAACATCTTCATCCTGGTGGGGAGGGGGCCATCTGAGGTCAGGAAAGAAAAGAGGACCCTCTGCCCTCTCTGAGGCAGAACCTCCCGTTCTGCTCCCATACCATCATCACTTGGCCACACCCAAATGCAAAGGACAACATACCTGTAGGAGGTGAGGTAGCAGGTGGGTAAACCACTGACTTGGCTGGGACTCCAAGTGCAGGAGATGTTCTCATAGTTAGATGACTGGCAGGAGACCACCGGACGGGCTGGGGGATCTAGTGGCAGAGTGTAGCTAGAGACTGAGCAGTCCTCACCTCCTCCCCGTCCCAAAGGGACTCTCTCAGGAACCCCATATCTCATAACTGCCACCATCCTTAACTCACAGCCCAGCTTTAGAGTCACTATGCCTTGAAGTTCACCATCCAGGGTCCGGCAGATGTAGATGCCCTCATCAGTAGAGTGTGCCTGGGCCAGGACCAGATTATTCCCCAGCCCAGAATCAGGTCCCTGGAGCAGTCTTGACTCCCTGTCCCGAAACCAGTTCACAGGGGTCCTGGAGGTGAGATGAAGTAATGACTGACAGAAAAGATTTAAAGTAGGGGCTGGGGATGTAGCTCAGTGGTGCCACCACCTGCCTCTCAAGCGCAAGGGCTTGAGTTTGGTCCCCAGTACAAAAAATAATAATAATTAAAAAATAAGTATAGGTTAGACCATGCCACTGTTTTCCTTAGGCTTCTAACTGCACTGGATATAAAAATCCAAATCACTGGCTAAAAAGCTCTTTGCAATCTAGCCTTTCTTGTCCTTCATCAGCTACTACCTTTCCTCACCAAATGCACTCTGTCCACACTGCTCTAGTTTCTGTTTTCCAGAAGTACTGATTCACACTTGTAATCTCCACACTCCGGAGGCTGAGGCAGGAGGATTGTGACTTAAAGGCCAGCCTGGGTTCAAGGCCAGCCTGGTCTATATAGCAAGACCTATCAAAGAAGAAGGAGAAGGAGGGAGGGAGGCGCAGGGAAAGGGTTGGGGGAGTACCTAGTCCGTTCCCACCGAGGAGCGTTTATACTATTACAAAACCTTGCTGACCTTCAGAAATCAGCTGTAATGTCACGTCCTCAGAAATACCTTCCCTGATTGTAAATAAAATGTAACCATCCTCCTCAACATCACAACCTCAGGATTTTCTGTCCTGTAAGCATTACTATCTAGCAAGATTCTTATTCGTTTATTTTCTATCTTCTCCAGTAGTATATAAACACTGAGAGCAGACATGTTGCATGGCTTGTGCTATATTCTAGAGCTGACAATGGGCCAGGCACTTACAGGTGCTCAATGCACAATGGTTGAATTTTCTGTTTAACAGGGATTGTCTGTGGGTTAGGCTAGAGAGGTAAGGATTACAATCAGAAGGGGCAAAGGCAGGAGGGTACTTGAAGATGGGCTGTGTCAAAAAGTAGGTGAGGCACTTACCCAGCACTCACTCCTGGGCAACACAGCATCACCGGCCTGCCAGGCTGCCCATACTGGACTCCTGTGGAGGGTACTCCTGAGATAAGGCTCTTTTTTTGTGTACCCCCCCACTTTGTAACAGTGACAGACAGGGTAAGGAGCAGACTATTAAACCCTGGGAAGGCTTATCGGGTTATAATTTGGAGACAGATCAGAGGACAGGGTAGAGAAAGTCTGTCAGGGAATAAGGGGAAAGGGAGGCTGCATTTAGGCATGAGAAGGGGCCACAGCGACTGTGGCAAATCCCAAGCCTAAATTGAGGGTCAAGAGGGTGTTTGTTTTTCTCACCTGGAGGGCCCCAGCCCTGGGGGCAGGGAGAGGAAGCAGAAACCAGGGCTGTAGCTATGGCCACCAGGACCCTGCTCAGCCTTGAACAGCTGCTGCTCATCTGTGGGGAGAGAGGCAGGTTCAGGGGTCCCCTATGGGAAGAGAGGCATGGTCAAGGGTCCCCCATCCCGAGATAGAAGGCTAAAGCCTGGCTCCCCCTCTCCAAAACCGGACTTCCTAGGAGAAACAATGAGGCACTGAGTGAAGTAATGCTATCAGAAATCATCTGGGGATCTGACCTGAGGGCCCTTTTCCCACCATATATTCAGTGTTGTGCACACTGGTACGCACGTGCGCACACACGCACACACTCTCACATCCTCCATCTCAGTCTTGGGATTAGGGCCCAGAACAAAAGCCGGAGGCAAGTAACAGTGTCAGCAACCACCCCCTCCACTGCCCTTGGCGCCCACCCCTGGCACCAAGGGCTGGCACTGGCTCAGCCACTCCCATTAACCCTTCCAATCCAGCTGCTGGAAATTCTGGCATTCACCCCACCTGTCCACAGCTAATCACCACCTCTGACTAACCTAGCACAAACCTTATCACCCTGGGGAGGAGGTCACCACGGTGAGTTTAAACCCACCCTGTAATCCCACCATGAGGCCCAGTACTGCTCCTCCTGCCAAGCCTCTGGCCTGGGTCTGGACCTGGCTCCTTGCATTGGCTACTTGGGCCACTCAGCTGAGCCTGGCTTAAAATCTTTGTTGGCATCGTGCCTGTACAGCTGGATGGGGCTAGGGAGCAGACTGGGGCTACAGAGTTAAGCAGATCCAGATGCCTTGGCTGCTGCTAGAAGTTGGGGGCAGGCAAGGAGCCAGGAGATGGAGATGGAGACAGAGTGGCGGAGAGGAGAGGGGAGCCAGGAGCCTGCAGGGACCCAGGCCTGGTATGGGGGCCACAGCACCAAGAGAAAAAAAAATCACTCAGTGATCAGGACCAGGAGGTGCCAGGGGCTCAATAAGGAGAAGGCTGAGCTGGGAGCAGTGGAAACCAAAGTCTGAGAAGGAACTAACAGTGGGGGGTGGGTAGGAGCTAGAATTCTGGCTTGGAGGTATGAAGGAGGAGGCAGCGGAGAAGGCTCAGATGGGGTGAGCCCTGGGTGAGAATGCCAGGAGAGGAAGAGCACAGCCCCTCCAGAGCAGACCTAGACCACAGCAGGGGTCTCCACATGTCTGGATGTCTATCTAGGTTTCCTGGCTCACCCTGGCTCCCAGCCCCATTACCCTGTTTGGCCCCACCCTACCTTGTTGATCTCAGTGGCTGAGTGTCCATGGCTCCAACACTTCCTCCTACCAGCTACAGCACCGGCTCCTGCTCCACTCAGTTCTGGGACCCTGGAACCATCCCTTCTTACTTCTCAGCCCCACCCCCTCTGGGCCCTGGAGCTCAGCCACCCTTAACCAGGCCCCTTTGGCCTTCCTTCTCCTCCTTCCCCATCCCCTCCTTCTTTCTCCCTCCTCCTTTCCCACCCGAGGCCCTGGGAAGGGAAGAGGCTCCCCTCACGGAAGAAAGAAAGCCAAAGATATGGTCAGAGCGGGCAAGAGGGAAAAGAGGGTTGCTTATGCTAATGTCCCTGTCAGTGAGAGATTCCCTGTGTTAGCCTCGCACAGTCACATTCGTGCATGGACTCACTAGGTACAGTTAACAAAAGGACACTCCATTAAACACACATGACACAATCAAACAAAAAATCAGATACAAACTTGTGCGCCTACTTTTCCACTCCCCTGCAAATGTTGCCCTAGAGCCCAGCTGCCTGTTTCTAAGGTTAAGAGAAGCCCCAGGCTAGGGAATATTAGGAAAAGCCTGAGTATAGTCCCCCCACACTCCCCCCACCACTGGAAGCTCCAGCCATTTCTTACCTCCCCCTCCACCCTTTGGGCCCCAGCACCAGGAAATGCCTTTGGTCCCTTGGTGCCAGGTACACAACTTAGCCTCAGACTACCACTCTCAGATACAGTTACACCGACACACTCAGAACCCTCACCTGGACCCAGACATATTTATACAGAACTGTATACTCAGTTTCATATAGACACAGAGTCTGATGGGGGGGCAGGTGTCACAGCATTCCCTAAAGGCAAATGCTCTTTATGGTTTAAGGCTCATCTGCAATGTCAGATCAGCATCTCAGCACTATTACAAGACCCCAGGTACCCAAACAGGGTAAACAGGTAGTCAGGTATAGTACAGAGACACAGACAGCATGACAGCACTAGAAAGCAGATACAACTGGGTGTGGTGATACATGCCTGTAATCCTTGCCCTCAGGAGGTTGAGGCAGGAAGATCGCAGAGAGTTCGAGGCCAGCCTGGGCTACATAGCAAGACCCTGTTTCAAAAAAGAAAGAAAAGCATGAGAAGAGAAGACAAGACAGATACACACAGGTACTCAGGAGAAATATCCCCAGGAAGATAGTCATAGGGAGAGAAAAAGAATTACTATACAAGGGAACTGAGTCAGGGGGACAGCAAATAAGGAGCAGTAGACCTCTTTTCTGGGGTCTTACACACGTATACACACACACACACACTGAGCTACACCTCCAGGCCTCGTGAACTCTTGGGCAAAAGAAGAGGAAGCCATGGGTGTTGGGAACTGGTCTGTCTATGGTGCAGGCTAAGAGTTAAGTCAGTGCCATTGGCTATCAATATACAAACTGCTATACTCCCACATAGTCTACATTAGGACACAGGACACGAATATAGTCACAAGTGTCACTCTCGCTCTGCTACTGCTGAGCATTGCCACAGCCACCCACTCTCACCCTGACAGAGATCTTCCCAAAACACCTTCCCTGATGTGGTCACAATCCTTCTGTCACAGACACACACATATAGTACCCATCTCACTAAAAATAACACATCGAAAGAAACACACATAATCTCTCCCTTGCACCTCCACATGCAGACTTGGGTACAAGCACATTGTCACATGCAATCACATTAGCTGACAATTGCATCAAGTGACAATTACCCAGAGTCGCACACACTGGCATCGTCACACACAGACGCACTAACATTCCAGAAGTCTCTCAGTTGCTCCCGGTGCTTTAGATCATACACCACCCTAACCCGCCCCCTCCTGGCGAGACAACGTCTACAACCGCCTGCCCCAACAGGCCTCACCTTCCGCGGCCACCGCCGCTGCCGCCGCCAGCGCCCTCCGCCCTCGCCCTAGCCCAGGCCTCTACTCCCTCCCGCTCTGGGCCCCTGCTATGGGGGTGGCTCCTCCCAGGCGCCAATGGAAAGAGAGAGGTGAAGGGGGGAGGGGACTCCTGGCCCATTGGAGCCTCTAACTGCCAATCACTTCCACCCCCCTTCTGCCGGACACTTCCTGTAGAGTCCGGACTGAAGAGGATGCCAAAGGCCAAATCTTATTAAGCTGGACTGTGGGGACCTGGCGTGAAAGCCTAACTTCCCCGGGATGACAGGACTGGAAGTGTTCAGGCCCTTTACCCTCCTAGCTGTCCACAAACAAAAGCCTCAAGTTCAGGGCTCAGGAGTCAGTGGGCAGGTGACCAGAGAAGTTAAAGGTGCCCCTGACCCAGGAAAGGAGGGCTGATTTAGAACAATGGTTCTCAAACTTTGCAGGGAATTGTGGTTGTAGAGCTGCCAACCGCCACCTCATACCAGTTAAATCAGAATCTCTGGAGGTTGGACTTAGACTTCAGTATTGTTTAAAACTACCCAGATGACTCCAAAATGCAGCCAAAGCAGAGGTATAAGGTCAGGTGTGTATGTGTATGTTTGTTTATGCCTTAAGGAACTAGTCACACACCAAGGACTTTCACCCACTCCCCAGCCAGCCCCTGGGAGGCTCAAAAGAGATGCATACTCTATTTGATCTCCTTCCATACCAGGGTGACACTCCCAAGTCCCAGGCACTTTAACTCTAAGGTCTCAGGAAAGACCATATGGACTGGAAGGTAGGCAGTCAAGGTTCTTCCAGCCAGCTTGTTACTGTCCAACCTTGTTACGATTTTCCCAAAGAACAGTGACCACGTTGATGACCTTTTGCTCCCCAACTGTTGCAGAGGGGAGGGAGTAGACCCAGGGTCATGCTGAAAACCACACATTCTAGGCTGGCCCTGGGACTCCTAAGCCTTGCAGCTCATTTCCTGCCCCATACAATGAGTCGGGTACAGGGGCAATAGAGGTATACTGAGGCTGCACATACTCCACGTGGGAGTGTGGAGAAGCCAAGGACACAAAGCCACCTACACGCGCCCTACTCACCCCCTTCAGCCCCTGTGGGCTGAAGAAGAGCCAAGCTGCAGCCACTTACAAAGCCAGGGTCTGGCCAGCTGCCCAGGGTCTAGCCACTGACCACTGGGACCAGTATCCTCAGGGCTGGGCTCCATGTGCTGACACTGGGCTTCGTGGTGGAGAGGACTCTGGCCTTCCCAAAACCTCAGCCACAGCCAAGAACACAAATATTTTAAAGATTCTTAAACTAGAAAGTCATGCATGATATGGATAAATCTATAGGCCAAATGCAATAATGAATATTAATTTTGTTCAGATTTGGGGTGGAATTCTTGCATCAAGTTTTTACACATCTGTAGGTAAATTGTGGGTAGAGCTGTGCCCTTTTGTGTGTGTATGTGTAGTATTAGGGATTGAACTCAGAGCCTCACACTGAGCCACAACCCCAGCCATTTTTACTTTCATTGTTTTGAGATAGGGTCTCACCAAGTCCCTACATTTCCCACTTGGGGCTCAAATTTCAGCCTTCCGGAGGACTTCAAGCCTTCCAGACTGCTGAAATTTCAGGCATTCACCACTACACCCAGCTTCCCTTAGCGTTTAATTCTAGATCGCTTTTCTTTGTTGGTAGTAGTTTTGTTTTGTTTGGGGTTTTTCTGGTACCACAGATCGAACTTAGGATCTTGTGCTTTGTTTTGTTTTATTTTTTAAGACAGGGTCTCGCTATGTACTTCAGGCTCATCGTGAACCCCAGGCTGGCCTCAAACTTCACCTCAATCCTCCTGCCTCAGCCTCCCTAGTGTTGGGACTATAAGGTATTTACCAACATGCCTAGCCCCTACATGTTGAGCTCATACTCCTCTAGCATCAGACTATGTAATTAAAGTTTTAATTTAATTTTATTGATGCTACATCTGCCCAAACTCCAGGCCTCAGGCTCCTCTGGCAGAAAGACTCAAGGCCCTGTGGTCAGGCAATGTCTGCTGTCTCCCTGTCCCTCTGTCCCAGGGAGTGGTGTACCTCAGGAAGTTCCCTTAGTCTCTCTGCAGCCTAGAAAGGAGAGAAGGGGCAATTAAGGAGGTAAGAGTCACAGAAAATGGTGGAATGAAGTTCTGAGCACCAGGGAACACTGGGGGATGGCTTGAGGAATGGGGAGAGAAGTCCTGGAGCCACCAAAGCATGGAGTATTAGCAGCTCCTGGTTCCTAGAAATGCCCAGATTCTTATGAGAATTCTCAGGGTCATTAATGTTGGGATCACTTGAGGAAGTGGGGAACGAAAGGGGACCTGGGGACCCAGGATGCTCTGAGTCCTGACCTGCTCAGGGGTGAGGTCCCTCTGGGCCTGGGCAAGCATTTCATAGCCAACCATGAATTTTCGGACAGTAGCAGAGCGCAGAAGTGGAGGGTAGTAATGAGCATGCAGCTGCCAGTGGTCCCAGTTGGCCCCAGCCTCTGATCCTGTGGGAGCACCTGACAGGAAGAAAAAGCCAAAGAAGGTGGGGAGGGCCCTGTCTTAGTTGTTCAGTCCACCCCATACCCCCAAACCAGGACACACACATGAAAACTACATCTCCAAGTATCCGCCACCAAAAAGCCCAGGCATCAGAAAGCACACTGGTGAGTTTCACCAAGTTTGCTGACCCCTCTCATTTGCAGCATTCCTGCTCTGGACATTTCTCCAGGAAGTGTTTCAAGGCCTGCTAGGAGTTGTGGTCCCCTGCACTAGGACCTTGGAGCCCAGAAATAGTTTTGGGTCTAGATAAAGATACACAAAAGCCTCACCATGCCAGCCCATGGAGTAAGGAAAAGATGTCTCAAATAGGTTGTCATACTTGGTCAAGAGCTTCTTCATGATAGAGGCTAGATCTGGAACAAGAGCCTCACTCTCAGCCTGGGAACCAGAGGCTGGCCCTACCAGAGCCATCCCATCTGGAGCACAGACCCAAGGTCCCAGCTGGGAGACTCACCATCACGTTCCGCAGGGGTCAGCTCGGGCAGCCGCCGCACATGTCTACGGGGCAGCAGCAGGGTCTGGAAGGGCCACACTGCCCAGAACGGGACCAGCACTAACCAGTGCTCACTGGTTAGGACCAGACGTTCCTAGGCACACAGAGTGGAGATGAAATCATCAAAGTAGGTTAGGGGGTCAAATAGGCAGGGGAAGCAAAAGAAAAGACTCTGAAGGATTCCCACCACTTCCACCACTTCATCCTATTCTATTCTAAACCACCATCATCGTTCCTTTATGGTTAGTGTCTTCTAGTGAGTCTCTTTGCCACTTCTCTTCTATCCTCCTCTTCTACACACCTCCTTTTTGGGGAAAGAAGGCTAAGAACTCCATGGGGACCAGGGCCTTGTTCTCTCCCACCTTCCTGAATAGTTCTTGGCGACTGTACTCCATGAGTAGGGGCTCTCCATGCTCACTGTGATAGGACTTCTGAGACCACTCCTCACGCTGGGCAATATCTGGTAGGAAACTGCTGGCCCACACCTATCAGAAGACAAAAGCAGACAAGAGAAGGTAGGTCCCTCACTTCCAAGCCTCCGTATCACTAGTATATTGCATTTG